AGTCTCAGGTAACAGAAGTGACAGCAATCCTGCGATGATTGACTCAGCTCCAAGGATGATAAAAGGCAGTGCAGCAAATGGCTCCTTTATCAAAATAACTTGAGGAGCCAAGGCGCTGCCAACTCTGGCAAAGGTAGACGACAAGCCCAGAGCTATAATTCTGGAAGAATCGAAAATTTACCATGAGACTGAAGTCAATTAAACAGGCGAGAATATTAATCTTTAAAATTCTATTATGATCGACGCAGTACCAATGTGGCCTACTAAATAACATCTGAAGGAATTGAAGGTTACCGGTGTAACAGGAAAGGGAGTCCGCTAGGAACCGTAGTCCGCATCTCATTACTTTGTACAGGTGACATTCGTCCCTTATACTGACCCCAATGCTGCCTATAGCCATAACCTGTACATTTCTAGGACTCCCATTCCTGTCACACCGGTTCAGGCAAACCTACCTCATCACTGTTGGGTAAACCTCCGCCGTCAACACGTATATCACAGCAAACGATGCCGAGATGCCCATCTTGCCAATTAATGCCATTGTCATAATAAGCCAATGCAAATCTGAAAATACAAATGAGTCAGTTTACTGAAAAGCACACGACGATCTGAATTACTGTAAAAATCAAGGCTACATTTTCTGTAACTTTTTTGTTCTTAATTAAAAGCTTAATTAAAAGTTCAAAGTGACAGTCGAAGAAGCGCGTACTTCGGGAACTTAGCAGTTCTGGCGTTAAGTGGCACTGAATAACCTAAAGTGATAACAACTGCTCATTTGGGGGAAAAAAAAAGAATTTTTCCAGGGGTAAACGACAATTTTATTATACTTACCAATGGTTAAAGAATCCATTTCTGCATGCAAAGTCAGTCCGTTTTTTCTAAAAGTATGTTTATTGTACTAATCTTTTAAGAGATCCCACACGAAGAGTTCTTTAACTAACCTGACGGCACAGTGCCGGAAACAATGCAAGCCACCCCGCCGAGTATCATGAATCCGACCAAGGACATTCTTCTGCCAATTTTGTCGATAAGGAAAACAGCCAGAGTGTAGGCTGGGATTTCAATGGCCCCCATCAGTGTAAAGTTAAGGTAGAGATCACCACCCAAGCCCGCAGAGTTCAGTGACAGCCCGTAATACACCATGCTGTTGACCATCCTTTGAAATGTAAATTTGGACACAATTAGTAACATCAAATCAACACAGATTAGTTACTAAGAATTTGTGACTATTTTCTATACACACTGTGGTGCATACTACCTTCCATTTCTTGTGTCATTCACGGCTCACAATTGTTAATTATTATATCGAAGTGGTGGTGAAAACATACATGTATTTAACTATAATAACTGTGTTCGGTTTGATTAATAACCAATTTGTGCATATTCTTCCCTGAATGGTAGGTTGAGTCAAGAAAAATAATGTGTTAACTCGACTCATTTCTCTACTCACCAGTTAAAACACACATTAACCGTTAAAGCCGTCCGTTTCCATGTCCTCACCATATCTAAAGGGGTGTAGGTCCGAGTAGAAGTGACCGCTTCATCTTTGTCCTCTATGACAGACTTAATAGTCTCATCATCAGGCTCGGAGTTGATATTTGTCATAGAAACTGATCGGATCAACTTCTCTGCCTCGTCGGTGCGGCGTCTTGACAGCAGCCATCGGAAAGATTCGGGAAGAACGCTGGAAAATAAAGCGAAGGGACGGCAGTTAGATATAATTTGAACTGCAATAATAATGCACTTAAAGGAGGATACTTGTGTCAAAAAAACAAACGCAATTGATCTGGTTTGTTTGATGTTTAAATGTGGCTATTAAAACTTAGTCACACGTACAGCTGACCAAGATACTTGGCCCCGGTTTCACACACACGCACACACACGCACACACACACACACACACACGCACAGTCAGGTTCCCTTGTTATGAACCTAATTACCAAGGTTACATGGTCACATGGGAACTTTTTTTTTTCAGATAAGGAGCAGTGAAACAGCACTCTCATGGAAATCCTAGTTAACTAAGCCAGGGAACTGACTTAGTTTTTTTTGTGAAACTGGGGCCAAGATACTTGATCACACTGACTAGCCACCTTAACCAATATTCATCATCCCAGAGACCCAAAAGCCTGTTGAGTCCCTTTTCAACAACGTGGCCTGAGGCGCTCAAAGCTGAATAAGTTACAGGCTATGCATTTATTTTCTAATTTCGTTCAGATATATCAATTTCTCCGTTTAAAACGTTTACTTTTAAATCTTAGGCCACTATCGGACAAAATATTTTAAAGCATGTGTCTTGCTACTAATTAAGCGATCACGTGAAAAATTCGCCAAAACTCTCTTACAGATCATCTGCAGATGATGACGGCTTTTAAAACATGCTACCTGTACTTCAATGAAAAAAGTCTGGCCAAGCATAACGCACTTTAGACACATGTGAATAGTTCTGAAGATTTAACTTACAAATAATACAGCCCAAACAGGTAGGCAGGCACGTACAGCACTAGAGCGAGGTGTCTCCAGTTTCTTATGAAGTAGGCAAACAGTACGAGGTAGAAGTAACCAAAACTAAAGAAGTACATAACGCCAAATCCAGTCAAATTTCGTTTGCTTGGGCCCACAAATTCAAGTCCTGTAAAATGAAGACAAAAGATTATTAAGTGAATGATAGCTACTGAACAAACGAAAAAACATTCAATGGGCTTCATAAGTAGCTTAATAAATATTTGGACTTTATCTTTGCAAGATGAACACAGGAAAGGTATAATTTTGTTCCATGTTGACTAGAGAATAAATACTTATAACAAGACGCGTGGGGTAGAAGTTCACAAAGTTGTGAAGATTAACAAACTTGTTTGCCATATTTCCGCGGTAGTGACACTGGCAAAGATCACAGCCTGTGAATAAAGGGACTGATAAATAATGAGCGTCGTAAAATTAAGTTGACTTAATGTGTTTCAGGAGAAGGTCCGTAGGAAAGCTGTTATTCAGAGGTGGGATGCGTGTGTGAAAAAAAACCAACGTTCTTTTGGTCACCAAAGCCTGCATGGAATTAAAGTTCGAGCTGATTTTTTGTCATTTCTCAAGCTGGGTCACCCAAAGAGATACATTTTGTCAGAACCTCTGAAATTTCCAAGGAGCTTGCACAAACAATCAGTCTATTATATGATACAACTATTCCTCTATATAGTTTTCAAGTTAGCCAATTACCAATGGTGAATGTAGTCAGGAATATACAGCCACTGAGTGATCCCTGGAGACCTTGAGACACTATGTATACTATCACATTGGGAGAAAGGGCGGTGAGGATCCCCACAGATGCCGATAACATTGCCGCAACCAGAAACGTCGGTTTCCTCCCGAACCTGAAATTATAATGAATTATTTTGATCTAATGATATCCTAAAATAACCCGACAAAATAAGACAACGTTTGCTTGCATATATTCAAATACAAACTGCCACGTATTGGCAATTAGATTAATAAGAAATATCCAAAATATGAGACACCTGCTGGATGCATGTTCCAACATTGTCCGGTGTGATATGGATGTATACTCTACCAGGACCGCAGATGAATTACGTGCACTTTTTCTCTAAGTGCAGAAAAATTCCATGAATTATACAAAAACATATCTAGCTGTTATTAGCGAATAAGCGAAAAATCAATCTGTGAACCTTGTAGAGAGCGACACGAATGCTAGTCTGCCAGGCCCCGCACTCATTACTTTAAACAGGTGCCATTTGTCCCATATGTCAATCCCCAACACCTAACCTTCAACTTAATTAACTATATATAGAACGTGTGCTTCCATTTCTTGGACTATTATCCCTGTCACAGTTTCAGTGTCGCCGGAAGCCAAACGATATAGCATTAGAGAATTAAGTTATTGATAAGTAGGGTGTTGATGGTGTCCCGACTTTTTATTTGAAAATAAAACGAAGTACATAACATAAAATGATGGAGACTATGCAGGTACATGTATATTGAATCGAAAGCAAATTAAACGATCACAGATAGAGGGCAGACGATCGTATAAAGTTAAAGCCCATTTCGCTTCTTTTTGCACATGTCATAATCATTCAACATACATTTCAGTTTAGAAATTCATCTTCATACTTCATTTTTTCACAATGGACCTATCAAATATCTTCAGCCATTGCACAGAATTATACTTTGCGATACTCACCTATCACTAAGTATCCCTGATAAAGCATCCCCCACCAGTTTACCGACAAAGAATACGGACTGACTTGTGCTGACCAGCCATTCGTTGCCACAGCCCAGATCAAACTGAAGGAATTATTAGAGAGTGAGGCAACCTCTCTCTAAGATTCAAAATAGGACATTATTAGTGGTTAATATTTTTTGGTATGAAGAAGCACTTTACGATGTTACGTCTGGAATTCTTCCTTCACAGTCGGATCAATAGATCATGAAATAAAAATGGAAAATAGTCGAAGGAAAGTTAAGGTGGTATAATAATTTACAAGCTGTATTCTTACCTCTGATACCACAGTTGACGTATGAATTTCTTGACTGTATTCCCGGTCCAGAGGACATTCAATACTCCCTGTGTTATTATCTGAGGCGGAAGGAACCTCATAATATGTGCCATTTCCCGTTCGGTTATCTCTCTCCCATGATTTCAGCTTACAGCTACTTCGTACCAGTTCTCCGTCTTTTTCTTCCCATGGGATGGTCAGGTTTAGCAGCTCCTCGTGAGAAAGGTTTCTGTAGGCCCTATCCGCGCTCGATACGTAGGGGAGAGCGGGGTTGGTTGGAACAGTTTTCACCTTTTTTGCGATATCTCAGCAGTCAAAGCTTTGGGGACAAAAATAAAAAATCTGATAGGGGAAAATTATATGCCGCACTCATCTATGAAATAAAACATCAAGTAGGTCTTTTCATTTAAGAGTAATAAATGCTCAAAGTTGCCTCCTAAAACGTTCCATCTCACCCCACCCACGGGGTGAGTTGGAACAGGCAGTGGGGTGAGTTGGAACAAGAGGGCGAGTTGGAACGCTTGCATATAAATTCAAAGTATAATTCATTTTAAGAGTAGGATTATCTATTTTAATTTCCCAACAAGTACATGTTACTTTGTATTAGTATCTCCATAGTTTGTAAGCATTTTTTACGTTTACAATTTGCTTTCAAATAGTCTTTTCGATGTATAAACCATATCCAGTTACATTTCNCACGGATTAAAGTTCATGCCATGTGACATTTTTATGCTGAAGGAGCACATGATCGGTCTCGTGATTTAAGAAATAAAGCCAATGTTCCAACTTACCCGCGTTCCAACCCACCCCGCTCTCCCCTACTCTGCGGGAATTTTACAGTTATATGTGGGCGTTGCTGCAAGGAACACGGAACAGAGGATAGGGACAGCCGTGTACAGAGCCGCCAGACATATTAGGAAATACTGGCGTCTCTGGAAAGTCCCAAACTCACCGATAATCTGTAAAAACTCGTCTAAATGCATCTTTTTTAAGGATTCAATGTGAACCTCTTTGTCTGCAAAGCGGGGTTATAAACTGGCTTTGTTTACTATTCAATATCGCGTCATTTAAATAGCAAACAATGAAGTACGAGTAAGAAATAATAATAAAAAAGCTTTGCATTTGGTATTAAGTTATGGTGCTGTTTCACTTGCCTATCTACAAACACGACAAATATCAGAGGTCGCACTATTTTTAAACATAGTGTAGATGATGAGTGGTGACATTCGTAAAAAATCGTGCTTTGTCGATAACGTAATTTTGCCACTTTCAGATAAAATAAGGCGCCATAGAAGCAATAGAATGAACAAATATGCCTCCAAATAGCTCCCTCCTCTTTTAAAATAATAATGAAGCAACAGTTTTCAGAAGTACCTAAAACAAATATACCTTACAAACTATGAAGGCGAACTCATAAAACAAATTTTGGAGAGCGTGTAGGTAGATCCACGAGAAGCGAAGATAAGGATAAGGCTCCGTCATGACGCATTTCTTAATCCGTGCTTCGTTCTTGGTTTTTCGTTTCAAAATACACCTACATGTACCACTTCTCTTCCATTTATTATTTACGATACATTTGTCTCACCTCGCATTTCTAACAAAATGTGCCAAATGTACAACATTGTTGAAGTGCACCATTTTATTTGTTTGCCAAGTATTCATGTTTCTCAGAACAAAATGAATCAATTTTTTGCTTTGTGTGTTAAACTCTCTTAAAATTTCAGTTAATTATGTCTTGCACATTTGACACCTAAAATACAATACTGCACGTACACGTTTATACCTCAGTTGGTGTTAACATTTTATTGAAAATATCTACGTCTTCAGTTGATTGGAAAATTGCGAAAGAAGAACGTTCATTCCAAACACTTGGCATTCAGCGTATGTGTGCACCGTAAGTTATAAGCTCACATCCGATTTCTCACGTCTTGGGTCTTTCTTCAGGTCCAGAAGCTCATTCGACGAATCTTTGTCCAGTTCATGTTTTTCTGTCCGGAATCTAAGGAGAAAAAAGAAAATAACAACTCAGTATAGCTGTTAAAGAGCGCATTCAGAACACCAGACTAACGGATCTGCGGATCAAATACGGCGACACACTAAAAAGCTTGCCGCTTAATTCCCTTTTAGACACTGAATAGATTTCCCACGGGGATTACGCAACAAGAGTTCAGGTGGGTCGGCCATACTTGATCCGCAGATCTGTTAGGCCCCATTCAGAACAATGGACTAACTATTCAGAGGGTGAAATATGGCCGACCCACATGAACACTTCACTACGGGGTATCTCTTCAGTGTCTATTAGCGGAGTAGACGACAATCTTTGTAGTGGGTCGCCATACTTGACCCTCGGACTAGTTAGCTATTGTTCTGAATGCGGCCTTAGTCCCCTGTTCTGAATGTGCTCAAATTCATTATAAAATACAGGTAGATTCTAGTATTTTAGCAAGCGTAACAGACAGCGAATCTCTTGAAACCAATACAAAGAAGATGGGGCGATAAGGATGGATGTGAGGACAACTTGAGGTTTATGCAGCTGACAGACAACACTGGCGACGTCTAGTGGATACCTTATGCAGCACCCTGGCAAGAAGCGTTACTCAGTGAGTATAAAGATAATAATACGATTTCTCCTTCTTCCTTGTGACGGATAAAACGGGCGAATATTTGTCACAGGATGGTCAATTTGATTCCAAATCCTTAAAGACCATAAGCCGGCTTCAGTTATTCACTTTTCGTTTGACAGTGTAACTGGCGGCACTGGCGATGGCTGGCGCGGGGAGGGGGGGGGGGAGAGGCACAAAGATTGACATGTATAACCTTGCAATGACAGTTTTATAATAATACATAAAGTAGGGCAAAGGTAAGGGGAGTTATTTGATTTTGTCTAGCTTTGTGTGATGGCCTGTTTATCCTTATTTAAAGGGAGAGGGAGAAGGGGGTACATGTACCTGTGAAGCGAAAGGATGGGGCAGGGAGCAGGGAACAGGGCAGCAGTTACTATTATCTGAATATTTTTGCTGAGCTTTGTAACCATCCTCGAGATTTCATTACAGGGCCGCAGTACAGATAATAACTGTGAATTTAACCAGACCAAAGACATACATGTATCTGTGAATGTCTAGTGAAAAATCAATCTGTCGCCCTGGTAGAGGGTAAACTAAAAGGAGGTTATTAGAAATTACACGTCCATCTGGTATCCCCAGACCCTTTCGTACTAACCATGGATCAATCTATCTCTGAGGGGATTCTCGCTAAATTGCAATCAACTCAAACTACTATGGGGTATTTATCGTTTAGCAGCTTCAGCAGGCGTGCCAGACATCTTAGCCGCTGGAACTGTAAGCAATTTAGCGAGAAACACCTCGGAGATGGATCGATCCTGTTAGATCGATCTAGGTATGGGTACCTAGGCTTACAATGGGCTT